CTCTGAGGTGAAAGCAGCCCACTCATGTTGCCCACCTACTACTCATAGGTGCCCATCCCTGGCTGGAGTTCTCTTCCCTTAAGGAATTTAATCAACCTTGTGAAAACAGAAAATCCCATTTTGGGCAGGGATGGGGAGGAGTGGAGTTCATGGAGATCTTAAGGGAGGCAAATGCCCATTTTTTGGTGGCAGACTAGAAAGAAGAGTCTAAGTCTTCTTCAGTTCAAGATACAGTAGAGGCTAGTTAGATGCAAGACTTCGCTGGACAAAGAGCAATGTAACTTGGCATGCAGAAAAGTATTTACACAAATCTATCCTACAGACAAGTCACACGTTCATTGTACTTTAGCTTTTGATGCCCTGTACATTTATTAATTCAACAACTTTATTATTTGAAAAGAGTTTTCCTAATTTTTCTATATTTTGGCCTGGTGCAAGGAAAAAAATGTTCCCTCAGCATGTCTATTCCTTTAACATCTATTCTTTAAAAAGGTCTTTTCTGTACAATAAAAAAATAGTACAAAAACCGCAACTCACTGGCAAAGTAGAAAGAAGGGCCTGTCTCCTTGCTGTATGGTATTTTGGGACATGCTGAATTTGGGAAATAGAAAGGTAAATTAGCCTCTTGCCATGTGCACACTTCTAATCTTCTGGAATGATTGTCATTCATTTATTTTTGAATATTGTAGGTTCATGCAAATATCATTTTTATTTGTTTAGTTAACAGTGCTGGATATTTTACTGAATTTTACAACTGAGTGAAGTTGAAATAAAATATGCCCCAATAAGCCCTCCTTTGAACTGTTAACACTGAGGGCCCCGCTTTTTACTTTAATATAAAAATAGATATTGAGTTATTAACACTCCAACAATAACCTTAGGAGGTAGAGTTAAACGGATTACAATTAATCAAACAAATAAATAGGCTTTTGTTTTTCAGCTGTATCACTGAGATCCTAACAGTTCCAAAAGACACCTTTGGAGATGGTTTGCTCTTAATCCTTGAAATTTATAACATATCCTAAATAGTCCAATGGTGGGTATTAGAACTTATTGCAAAGACAGAAAAACAGATAAGGTTAGAGAGAACACCAGATCAATAAAACATTTGTGGAAATGAGAGGGAAAGATACAAGAACAAGCAAAAGAATAAATAATGCATCTGTGTAAAATCAAAATTTGGTTTTACATATGTCTTTTACACACACACACACACACACACACACACACACACACACACACACGAAGTTTTACAGAAGCATCCACCTAAAGAATATACAATTTATCCAAATGACAAAACTAGTGGGAGTTAACTGTTACAGGAATATATTTGTCCTTACAGCTTGAGTTTTCAATAGAAAAACTTGACACACTGGTATTCTGGAGATAACAAGCAGCTCATACCTATCAGAAAGTACAAAGCTTGAGCCACTGTTCTTTAGAACCAATAAATGGATTAGTTCTGTAGGAGTGGCAATCATATATTGCTGCTTTGTTTCAGTGTAAGGTGTCTATTTCAAACTTTTCACAATAAGAATTTATATATGGTTTATTAAAAGATCCAACATCAGATCCAGTATCAGATCAAGTATCAGTCTTTTTGTTAATGGTGTCCAGTTTTCGGGTTTATTTGAAGGAGCAAGAAGAAAAATGGTTGTTTGACCTTCTCTCAATGTTTCAGGGAAAACAATGGCTTGGGTGTTGCTCCATCATGTTTAGAAGTGCCACTAAGGGTGCACATATAGTTTAGCTACTTTCCATCTGTTGAAGAACATTCAACTTCAGGAATTGAAGTAATAAAAGTGTGGCACTCAAGAGCAGTGACAAAGACACCTGTCAGAACTCCTGAATTGCCTACTACAGTGGACATCTAGCAGAAATATTAACTCACACAGCATTTGCTAAAGGGAATCCTGAAAACTGCATCATCTGAGCCTTCACTACCAAAAAGATTTACCACGTATAGAATGCTACATGCATTTCAGGATTCAGGTTCCTCTCCCATGGAGGAAAAAAGTAACTTTCAGCAAATAATGTAAGAGAATTTAGAACTGAATTTAATTCTCTTCATTCAACAGTTACTACTGTTTGTCATGATTTTTACTTGCTTCAAACTAATCAGGAGGGTGAAGTTTTCAGAGATTTTATGCACTGATTGAGAAAATGTTAGGAGAATGCTTTAAAAGCCATTAACACTTCCCCTCCCCAATGCAGCTGTCCTTCTGGACTTCTTTATTATGTAACTCAAAACACTCAGGTAGAATAAGAAGTAGTTACTCACCCTGTGGAGTAACGATGGTTCTTCAAGATGTGTCCCGCTGTGGGTGCACCACTCAGGTGTCAGTGCATCCTCACGCCGATGATCGGAGATTTCTAGCCTAGCAGTGCCTTCCCGCACCGTGCATGTGCAGCAGCCATCTCGCACTTTTTTTGTCCGTTAGCTGCGTACACGGCGTGAATCTCGCTCTGTTCCTTTTCTACCAGAAATCCTGTAATGGACTACGAAGTAGAGGGGAGGAAGGGAGGGTAGTGGAGCATCCACAGGGACACACATCTCGAAGAACCATAGTTACTTCACAGGGTGAGTAACTTCTCCTTCAAGTGGTGTCCCTGTGGGTGCTCCACTCAAGTGAGTAAAAAGCAGCACCCACCGTTGTGGAGATGGGACTTTGGAGTCATCTACTGGCAGAAGCAAGGGCGGAATCGCCCACAGAGGTGGTAGGTACTGGCCCTTGCAGTAACACATAATGTTGTGCTAAAGTATGTGCTCAAGACCATGTAGCCTCCCTGCAGATGTCAGCTAGCGGGACATTACGTAGAACGGCAGTAGATGCAGCCATCACTCAGGTGGAGTGTGCTGTGACTGCTTGTGGCAGTTCCTTGTTTCTGAGTCTATAGCAGGTATTTATGCAAGTTGCGGATACGCACTGTGTGGAGACGGCTGTTCCCTTGCCAGGACTGAACATGGATTTAAAAAGTCTGTTAGATTTTCTAAAGGGTTTTGTTCTGTCTATTTAGAATGCAATAGTCCTTCTTGTATCAAGGGTATATAGTACCGCCTCCCTCAGGGTAGTAAGTGGGCAGATAAACGTGCTCGTTCACGTGAAAGTCGGAGATAACCTTTGGTAAAAACTTTGGATGGGGTCTGAGAATAATCTTATCTCTAGTGAAGAGCATATATGGTGGGTCTGCCATAAGGGCTGTGATTTCGCTTACTCATCGTGCAGATGTGATCACAACGAGGATGGACACTTTCATGACCATGTGTTTCATTGAGGCCGTCGCTAAGGGTTCAAAAGGAGGTCTTGTTAAGGAGTCTAACACAAGGTTTAGCTCACAAGGTGGGACAAATGGACATATGTGGGGTCGTACTTGAGAGACATCTGCTAGGAACCACTTAGTGATGGGATGTGTGAACACCAACATGTCGTTTACCAGCTTGTGGAAAATGGTGATGGCTGACAGACGGACTCTAATGGAGAGTCCCATGTCACTGAGGTCCATCAAGGATTCCAACACGGTAGGTATTGGGGAAGTATGTGCTTGTAGATTGCGTTGGCTGCACCATTGCTGAAACCTCTTCTATTTGGTTTTGATAGGTGTACCTCGTGGAAGGGTGGTGACTGCTGAGGAGGATCTGTTTCACTCTCTGGGAGCAGGTAAGTTCATTCTGGAACCACGGAGAAGCCAGGTGATAAGCTTCAGACTCTGAGGGTTCAGGTGATGTGTTTGCCCGTTGTGTTGAGTTAATGATCGAGAACTGATGGGGAGTTGAATGGGTTTGGCGATTGACAGGTAACAGAGGTACAGAAACCAGTGTTGTCTTGGCTAATATGGTGTTATTAGGATGATCTTTGCTTGGCTGCCATATGTCCTAGGGCCTGTAAACGTATTTGAACGGTTGTCATCAGGGACTGTAAAAGAGTTTGGACAATGTCGCACAGTGTTTGGAAACGACTCGGGGAGAAATGCCCTAGGCCACGGTAGAGTCTAGAAGCGCTCTGATGAATTCTATTCTCTGGGAGGGATCCAGAGTAGATTTCTGCACATTTATTAAAAGACCCAGCCGGGTAAAATTGTTTTGAGTAAGGTCTGTCATGATAACTGTGTATTATCGGGAGGACCCCTGATTAAGCAATCGTTGAGGTACAGGAATAACTGCTTTGTTCTTGAGCTTCATCTCGTGGTCCTTCCTAGCCCTGGTAGTCATACTTTGACAACGTGGGCACTTCTGCGCCACATGACCTTTGCCTAGGCACTTTATATATGAGGTGTGCCCGTCTGAGGTGGGCATCGAGTCTCTGCAGTAGTTACATTTTTTTAAAGCCAGGGGAGCCTGGCATAATGCTGCTTGGGGCTAAGAACTTGGAGCGGAAACCAAATGAAGGGAGAAAAACCAGGGAGTAACTTTTTTTTAATGGTAACTAACACACACTACTAACCCTAAACTGAATAAACTGCAACCACTAACTATATATTTCTATCTTTTTCTCGGCTGAGGAGAGCACTGCTGGAAACTCCGTCTTCTGCCAAAGACAGTAGAAAAGGAACTGAGGAAGACTTGCGTCGCACGTGCAGCTAACGGACGCAAACAGTGCAAGACGCCTACTGCGCATGCGCGGTGCAGGAAGGCACTGCTAGGCTAAAAATCTCCAATAGCTGGAACAAAGACACACCAACACCTGAGTGGAGCACCCACGGGGACACCACTCCAAGGAGAACAGTCTGATATTAAAGGAAGTGATTCTTGCGGGAAGACATTTGATGGTATCCTACAGAAAGCACCGGCTAGCTTCAAGGAAACAGGGACCTTAATACAGTTAATCTTAACAGCAGTGGGAAATCCAACAATGTAAATTAAAAAACCAGAAGTAAAATCTGAGAACTCACTTGCGCAAATTTATTCTAGAGATTAAAAGCAGTGGCTGTTATTTCTCACTGTGAATAGCATAATTCAGTGGTTCTCAAACTTTTTGACCCGTGCCCACCTGGCTCAATGCAAACCTTTTCATGGACTACCAGCTGCTAATGGAAAGTTTGCTAGTGCTGCAGCTAGGGAGAACAGTTTAATTTAACCAGTAAGAAAGGAAATATTTAATTATTAAACAGATATAAGTGCTTTTACTCTCTCATGTTAGTTAAATTTCATTTTAAAGTAAGTAAAATATTAATTTACTACAGGGCTGTATCCCCTGCTCTCTATGCTTGCCAACCCCTTTCCCTCTAGAGGTAAGTGTCTGTCCAGGAGAGAGCAGTAGTGGGCTGGGGGCAGAGTGTCTGGCCAGGGGAAAGGGGGAGGGGAGGAGCAGGCTGAGGTTGCAGGGTCTCGGCTGAGGCAGAGACACACTGGGATGGGTGCAGGGAGGGGGAAGGGTGCACAGCTCCCACCTCCTACACTCCTGAGTTCTAAGGAGGGGGGAAGCTGTAAGGCTCCCACCCAGCACCGGAGTGGGGGGCAGGTAGGAAGGGAGGAGGCAGAGTGGCTGAGGACAGAGGAGGCGGCAGAATGCAGAGTGCCGTGATAACTAGAGATGTTAAATATCGGTTAATTAAGAATTCATGAGGTTAATTGACTTTTCATCAGTTAGTCGACTATTCTACAGTCCCCGGGCAGCCCCTCTCCAGGGGAGGGGTCTGAGCTCCTGGACCTAGCACAAGCCGGAACTGAGCCAAGCTGCCTGCCAACTTGACTCCTAATGCACTTTAAATACAGAGGCCCAGTGGGGGTAGGTCCTGGACCCAGTGCAAGCCAGGACTGAGCTAGGCTGCAGGTCAGCCTGCTAAAAAAAAATTTAGCAGAGGTGTGGAGGGGAAGGGAGAATGCATGTAGTCCAGTGTTTCCCAAATGGTGCTCCACGGAACCCTGGGGTTCCGCGAAGCGAATGTAAGGGTTCCACGAGAACCCGAACGCAGGTAGTTACTGATGGGAAAAGAAATTATCAAATGAAATACCACATGTGATTTGAGAATGTCCTAGAACATTAGGAGCCATCTACTAAATACTTGATGAAAAGCCTAGAAGGCTGAAGATACAGTTTAGCTTAAGACAGTAAGAACATGCTATCATACAATATAAGTACTTCCTTACAAGCCACCTATGATATAGCACTGGCATCAGACTGGACTGAAGCAGATTTCTGTGGCAAGCATGTCAAGCATTCAGTTATAAAAAGAAGAGGGTCAGCAGTTCAAAAAAGCAAACATAACCGTCCAGTTTCTGGAAGGACCAGGTGCTGTAAGAGAAATGCTGCTTGGACTTAAGTAGTAGGACACACCTCAACAAAAAACTAGAGTTTTCAGGCTTCCTGACACACAACCAAAACATGTGTCATTATATTGTCTGAAATATACACCTATGATGGATTGAAGCTGCAAAACCAAGAATATAAAAACTAGACTTCTATGTTATGTTGGAACAGAGAAAAATAATTTAAAATATATGATTTAAAAATTGCTCCTGTACCATGATTTCTAAGACCTGTCAAATTGTAGCAGATAAGAATGATGTACAATGTAAAGTTGCTGGGGAAAGTTGCAATCAACAACCAAATTCCCAGAGATTATTTCATGTCTAGTTTTAAGACAGGATTTTTTGAGAATGTCCCTTTAACCAGGAAGTCTGAAAGCCTTCAGTCACTTGATCAAGACAGTAATCCCATAAAAATCACAATAAAAGCTCTGTTTACATGAACACCTCAAAACACTAGATACACAAATGAAAAAACATGGGCAGTGAGAGCAAAGACCTATTACTTAAGCTTTACAAGTTTATTTCTTTTCAATTCAGCTATATCACATGAAGCTTCCTCCAAATCCAGTGTCAGAATTTTTAGTGTGATGTTGGAGCAACGTTTATATTCATCTGTATCAGAGACATAGTGTTATGCACCCGGGGGCAAAGGCAAAATTTGCGCCCCCCAATCATTTGTTACTTTGTATTTGTTATTTATTTCTGTCAGTCAGCAAAAAGTAAGAACGTAAATAATAAAAAAAAAAAAGAACAAATGCTACTAATATCCACTGATACCGGGATCAGTTAGTAGATCGTAACTACAGACAAATATAAATTATAGTTTTTGTGGTTTACATTCTGTTCAATAATTTTTTCTCTTCAATTTGTTTGTATCCCATTCTCATTAGGTTCATGTCTTTTACATAAAAAAATGTCAAATGCTTAAAATATGTAAGTTTTATAAAATACAAGAAAAATAAATATTATACAACCTAAATATGAATTTCATCACTATATTTCAATCAAGCACTTAAAACCACTGTTATAACAAACGAGTAACTCATTGCTTTAATGACTAAAAGGTAAAAAGATTTTGAGCATATCAAATTTATTGTAAGCAATCTGTAATGCTTCTTAACTGCCTAGTTACTTACCTGGTTAACTTAGTTGTTTTTCATACTATCGCACAGCAATAAACTACATCATAGTTACGAATGTAAGAGATTAACTTACCTGTTAAAATAACACTCAGAAAAACTTTTAAATAAAACTAACACACAACACGAGAATTGCCCTCACTTTCTTGAAGCAATAAGTAGCCTAAGGCCGAGGTTACACTGCAAGCGTGGCTTTTTGTCTGCCACGAGGACTTTTTCCTTCAGGCTGCCATGAGATTCTATCCTTACGTAAAGGAGAGAGGTCTCTCTGAGCTGCTCTTCCAAATTTCACACAAGCCATTCAACTGAAGCCATAGATATCAAGATTCAAGGCGAGCCTTGCCTCTGGCAGACTGCCTCTCCAGGTGTTCACAATCGCAACATCCCAACACCTATAAGACTTTTAGTTGAGAAAGCCTTGTTAATCCCAAGTCTCTGCTATGACCTATAGAAAACACCAGCATTTTCTTTGGAAAATCCACAACAAAACATGGGGGGGAAAATCGATCACCTCAGTAATGCCAACTCCTTTAGAATTGAGGCCCTGATTATCCAGCACCAGCTGAGGTAGAGCAGGCACTGTGTGCACGTCTGATATATTTTTACCAAAATGGCTACCTGCCCAACTCGCCAAAGGAGAAAGGAAACGGGGAGACCAAAAGGAACGGTTTAGAGCAGTTTCTCAACCTTTTTTTTTATAAAGTACCCCTTTAAAAAAATTATAAGTACCCTCAATGCACCCACCCCTCCCCCAGAGCCAGGCAGCGGACATACAGTAACCCTACCTTTGAAGGGCTCACTCCCGCCGCCCGGCCCTGCCTCGGGGG